ATATAGGGGTTATATAATGACTATTTAAGGGTTATATGTGGTAATTGGATTAAGGGTCCCTACTGGGGGTCCCTCCTAAAGTCCCTAGAGAATGTGGGTTCCGAAAACTCGTGTCCCTTTTGCGGGCCGTTTCTATAGGGGAAACAAACATGCTAGGTGATGCTGGGTGAACAATGGAAGACTCTCTTCTTCGGAAACTTCGCAGATCCGAGCGGCAACATTGTCCGACATAAGTTCAAGATGGAGCTATTTGGCGTTGACCTAAAACCCTAAACCCTAAACAAAACATGCGGCCAGCCGAGATTTCAACCTGGCAAAACGCAACCCATACTTGCGCGGTCCGCATGCTTGTCGTTGCTGCAGGAGCCCCTCACAGCAGCAGCAAAACAACAGCAGCAGCAGCAGCAGCGACGGCGGCCCTCGAGAGGCGCCGCGGTACTGTTGAGAGCTTTGTGATGGTGACTTGTAAATCTCACAAAGACTTTTTGGCGGTTTTTAAAGGCGTGGCTTTCAAAGCTTGGCCTGGCCTGTGATTATAAGCCACTTTCTCCTCCGGGCAGTAACAAATATGCCTGAAAAAGCTGTTGACCAGAGAAGTCAACTTGCATGTCTCTGCAATCAATTTCTTTTTGATCAAGAAGAAGATATGTCGCCGAAATTATTAACAAGCAAAAAAGTAAGCGGCAATGCTGAATATTGGCCCCAAACTAAACCCAAAATCGTAAATCAAAACCCCAAATTCCCAAATCCCTAAACCCTAAACCCTAAACCCTAGACCATCAAACGCCTGCCCAGTGAAGTAGGCAGGGTCGATGGCGCCCACAGATCCCAGAAGCTGGCCACAAAGGAGCTGATCGTCTGCGGTGGCTTGGAACACAATAACAAAAGTTGGGTCATTCCCCCCTACAGTAACTGTTACCACAAGAATACGGCCCCCTTTAAGGACAGTTACTGGGTGGGGGAATGACCCAAAACAAAAGTAATAATAGCAGTCATAATTAGCAGTACATAGTGGTCATAATGATAGTAATAACAGCAGTAATAATAGCAATAAGAATAGCAAAAATGTCAATCATAAGCATAAGGATAGTCCTAAATTCCTGTTCACAAAATGGGGGAAATTCATATAGGGCCNNTAGGAACCTAAATATAGGACCCCTTTTTGACAGTAATTTAGGACAATCCTCATAGTGGTGAGAATGATAGTAAGAGGCTGCAGAAAGATTAGGCTCTTAGGGCTTGGGATTTTTGAGCTTAGGGTGTAGAGGTTTAGGGCTCAGTACGGTTTGCACTTGAGAAGCCGTGAGGTTTGGGGGTTTCGTGTGTATGGCGTCCCTTCTTGAATGGAATAGAGGTTCCCCGAGACCAACTGCACCTGTTCAAGGGTCCCTTCCTCAACGACATGTGCTTTCCGGCCATGAGCCCAACACAAAAAGTGAGTCGCGGAACCATTGGTTGGTTCTTTCGGGCGGTCACCCGGCAGCATGTGAGCTGGTGTCTACATCTGATCCAGAGTGGCATGGTCAACATTACGTTGGTGTCCTCCCGAGAAGCACTAGAAGTTTGGTGATGCCATGTAATTCGTTCTTGGTGGTTGGGCGGTGGGTTTGGCTTGGTAAGCCCAGCTTTGATCAGGCTTGATTGCACAGCTTGGCTCAGTGTGCTTTTTTGAGAAGAAGCCGGAACTACATCTTCAAGGACCCTTCGTGTTTTCAGGTATAATGGCCAGTTGAGGGCTGATTCAGTGTCGTAGTCTCATCATTACTACTCTCACGGTTTTGTCCTGCTGAGGAGGCGGAGCGGTTTCGGTGTCCTCCAATGTTCCATTAAGATTTAGACCGGCAACCTAAAGCCGAAATGGCGGGGCGACATTGGCTACATGTCGTGAGCGCATACCTGCACCTACCACATACTGATTCTTTGCATCCACGCGCCTGGGGAAGAGGACGATTCCCAAAGGTACCTGAGCAAACCCCATTCACAGTTGTAGCCAGAGATGTCGTCTTAGCAACAAGAGGAATGGAGCTCAGAAGGCAAGGCCTTAGGTGCGCAAGGGGGCTCAGAGGCTGCTGCTTTCAATCCCAAATTTAGCCTGGATAAAGTGACATAAAGACCGCTGCTTGCAGTGGACATAAATGGGGGTTTCCCAAAATTTGGGGTACCTTATCCCCATAATAAGGAATACAATACTTTGGGGTCTATATTGGGGTTCCCTTATTTTGGGAAACTACCAAATAACTACACATCACAGAAAATTTGGAGCATTTGGTGCCATCCACGGTGCTTAAGCAAGGCCCGCATGAGCCGTGCCATTGTTGGCTTCGGCAGCGTGGCGCACGGCGCCTTCTGGGCAGTGAGGAAAACAGGGAAATTCAAGCGAAGCGCTTTGGTAGCAATCCTAAACCCTAAACCGCATGGCTCCTGGCGCAGCTGAATGATGTCCCGCAAGCTTTCCAGGGCAGAGCGGCGAACCACCTGAACCGCACTAATATACTATGATATACTATAGGATACTAGAATATACTAGAATATATTACATTATACTAGAATACACTGCAATATATAGGATGATCACTCACAAAGCGTGCGAAGCATGGTTAAACCGGGCAAAGGCGCAAACCCGGCAAGGAGCTAGTACATTAGGATACTATAGTATACGATAAAATACCATAATACATTATAGTGCACTATAAAAGATGTATAAAAGGTTATAATAGATTTTTCATAGATTATAATAGATTATACTATATAGTATACTATACTCTAGTGTATTATAATAGGCCTAAATCCTAAACCCCAAACCCCAAACCCCAAACCCTAAACCCCAATCCCTAAACCCCAAACCCTAAACCCTGATTATAGGGTGGCCTGGGTTCCATCTTGGAGCTGCTGCACACATCGCTCGAGGCGAAGGGCTGGGCTTGCCGGCGCTCGCGCCTGAGCATGCTTTTGGTGTGCTTAGGGTTTTTTTGCAACGGCCTTTTACGTCTGCACGACATAATGACATCCGTCTGTCCAGCCGGAAATGGCCCAAATTCCTGGGACTCCAAGCCGTAGTCATTAGGGTTTAGGGTTCAGGGTTTAGGGCCTAGGTTTTAGGCGTTTAGGGTATAGGGTTTAGGGGTTGAGGGGTTTAGGGCTTAAGCCCTAAATCCTAAATCCTAAGCCCCAAGCCCTAAATCCTGAACCCTAAGGCCTAAACCCCAAGCTGGCCTTGTCCAGAGCACTTTTGGCAACTCGTAGGGTCTCCCAAGTCGGGAGGTCTGGCAGAGAGTCCACCACCTCCGAATTTGAGCAGAAAGGTGTTTTATTGGGGGTTATATGGGGATTTTATAGAGGTTTTATGGGGATTTATAGGATAGGGTTTTGAAAGGGATTTTATGGGGATTCTATGGGGGTAATGGAAACGAAAATGGAAACTACTATTTAGGGTTTAGGTTTCAGGGTTCAGGGTTGGGATTAAATTGGGATGATGGAAAAGGACATGGAAACTACTATAATATAATAGGGTATATTTTGGGGTTATACTACTAATATCATATTGGTGTTTTTCTTCATAGAGCACCACACTGGCTATGGTGAATCCCTGCTCCCCCTCGATCAGCGGCTCAACCTAGACAATTGGAACCACAAGTAGTGCGCGGACACGTGAGCTTAAGTGAAGTACAGCTTCTAGCTGCGAATTATGCGTCATTGTTCCTGGTCCACAGTCAGATCTGTTCTTGCTTTCACCCTTCAGCAGGCCTATTGCCTGTGCCAAGCCATTTCAGACTTTGATCTTTGGGGAGAGGTGGCTAGAGCCGTCATGAGAGAGCAATGTGATGGGTGAGTTCAAGAAATCGCTGCTGAGGGAGACGTCTCCGTAAAGCGTCATCTAGTCGGCTTCAATGAATAGCAGCACATGGCTCCTAGATCCATGCAGTCTTGCCTACACTAAACGTGATGTGTCAAAGCCTTCCTATTTTGCTCCACAGGACATACACAACCAATGCTGCAAGTCAACACTTAAGCATGTCAAGCAAACCAAGAAAATGCGAAAGGAAGATTGCACAACGGCTTCCGACCTCAGAAACACTCCGGCAGGTCTCCACCACCAACGGGCACAGCACGTCTCGGCACAGCACCTGTTCGTTCTTCGAGATCAACAAGGAAGAACGGAAGTTCTCATCATACGGGCACCCGCTCTGAGATCACTCCACATAAATGCCTGACTTCCCTTGCAGTTTCTTCAAGTCAGGCTCGGCATCCGCCTGAAAGGGCTGCTCCACCGCTTTCCTCGGCTCTTTGGCTTCTCAACATAGTAGTAGCGTTTTTTGGTGGTTGAACCTCTTAAGATTATACTCCTCATATAACTACTATACCCAAAAGGAGGATATAATCTTACTCTATAATGGGTACCGTAGTATCCCCAAATAAAATACTACTCATATGATTTCGGGAAGTTCTTGGATGGTTTCAAAATCATGGGACTCTTCCTTGGGGATCATTTGCTTGCAACACGACTGCTGCATTTGCCGAGCAGGTCCAAGGCTCAACTTCCCCCCCAGCCGCAGCAGCTCGGAGACCACAGCAGGTAGCAAGGACTTCAGGCGCCTTGGTAGCAGTCCTAAGGTTTAGGGTTTAGGGTTTAGGGTTTAGGGGTGGCTGCAATAGAAATCAAGGTGAGCGGCGGCAGCGAGTAGTGGTGGTGTTAAATTCCCTGAGCATAATGGCATGTAGTGGTGGCGGCAGCTGCGGAAATAGCCGGAGTGCAATAGCAAGTGGTAGGAGTGCTACTACTAGCACCCGCACAAGTAACAGTGAAAATGTACAAAATTGACAGTGACATCCCTTGTTGTGGCAGCGGTAGTAGTGATTGGAGTTGGAGCGGTCATAAAGATAACATGGACAGAAATGATAACGTGGCAGCTCCCAGGACTCAGCGGTGGCGTTGGCGGGCGCGGCGGCTGCGGCTGGCGGCTGTTGCTGACGTTGCCGCCGCCGCGGGTCGCGGTGATGACGGTGGCGGTGGCAGTTGCCGTCAGTGGTACTGATATGAGTGGTGGCTAGTAGCACTCCTGCAGGCGTACAACTCTATAAGGACGCCTTTCAAGCCCAAGCAACTGCGCCCCCACGCTGGTAACGAAGTGCCGCCAGCAATCAACGCTTTCCTGGTTCAAACGTATGGAAATGCTCTATCTGTTGCTGTTGATACTGCTTGAGAATAACAGAACAACAGGTCTAAGCGACAGCTTGGGGAAAGTTTCTACACGCAAAAAAATCAACGCTTCCCAACTTGTAGCATCTACTATCCCCTTATCATGGAGAATCAATTTGAAAAGAAAATGGAAAAGAGGGATTATGGGTTTCTCAACACCAGGCCCGAAACCCTAAACCCTTAATAGTTGCTTCCATTTTCTTTTCCATTATCCCTATATAACCCCGATATAACCCCATTATAGTAATGGTTGCATTTCTTTTCCATTGTCCCTATATAGCCCTGATATACACCATTATAGTAGAAGTTTCCATGTTCTTTTCCATTATCCCTATATAACCCCTATATACTCCATTATCCCTATATAACGCTGTTATAAACGTGTCCATGTTCTTTTCCATTATCCCTATAGAACCCCTATATAAACTCT